AGTAATGGGAATACAGGTGTAAGCCACTGTGCCCTGCCAGCTTCACTAAATTTTTAAGGCTTCTCTCTGGTATGAATTCTCCAATGTTGTACCAGGATTCAGTTTTTACTAAAGACCTTGCAACACTCATTACAACTGTGTCTTCTCTCCAGTATGAATATTCCTATGTTGTGCAAGGGGTGAATTCTGACTGAAGACCTTGCCACATTCATTTCATTTACAAAGCTTCTCTCCAGTATGAATTTTCCTATGTCGTGAAAGGTGTGAATTCCTACTGAAGACCTTGCCACATTCATTACAACTGTAAGGCTTCTCTCCAGTATGAATATTCCTATGTTGTGTAAGGTGTGAATTCTGACTGAAGACCTTGCCACATTCATTACATTTGTAAAGCTTCTCTCCAGTATGAATTTTCCTATGTCGTGCAAGGTGTGAATTCTGACGGAAGACCTTGCCACATTCGTTACATTTGCAAGGCTTCTCTCCAGTATGAATTCTACAGTGATAGGTTAGGGAAGACTTGTGCCCGAAGACCTTGCCACACTCTATACATTCATAAGGTTTCTCTCCAGTATGGATTAGAAAATGGGCAGTGAGATCTGAATACTGTCTAAATGCTTTGCCACATTTATTACATTTGCAAGGCTTCTCCCCAGTATGAATTTTCCTATGTCGTGCAAGGCGTGAATTGCCAATAAAGACCTTGCCACACTCATTACATTTGTAAGGTTTCTCTCCAGTATGAACTTTCCGATGCCTCACAAGGAATGCAATTCGACTAAAGCCCTTGCCACATTCCTTACATTTGTATGGTCTCTGTGTAGTATGAATTGTCCGATGAATGGTTAGGGAAGACTTGTGACTGAAGACCTTGCCACGTTCCTTACAATCATAAGGTTTCTCTCCAGTATGGATTACAAGAGGAGCAGTAAGACTGGAACACACATTAAATGCTCTGCCACATTCACTACATTTGTAAGGCTTCTCTCCAGTATTAATTTTCCTATGTTGTGCAAGGTAGGCATGGTGACTAAAGACTTTGTCACATTCATTGCAATTGTAAGGTTTCTCTCCAGTATGAATTTTCTGATGTTGTGCAAGGTATGAATTCTGATTGAAGACCTTGCCACATTCATTACATTTGTAAGGCTTCTCTCCACTATGGATTCCTTGATGTTGTGCAAGGTTTGAATTGCTACTAAAGATCTCGCCACAGTCACTTTGTTTGTAAGGTACATCTGCAATATGGATTACTTGATGGTTAATAAGGCTTGAAGACGCTCTGAAGACTTTGCCATGCTCTTTACATCCATAAGGTTTTCCCCTAATGTGTATTTTCTGTTCTTGTGGGAGTATTGTAGAAAAAACGAAATCATTTTTGTAGTTATTAAAAATATGGGTTTTGACATTGGAAACACTTATTTGAACTGGTAAAACTGAAGAATTGTCACTGATAGATTTTTCAACATGCTTACATCCATAAATATTCCTTACAGCTTGAAGTGGCTGCCATTCAGCCAGATGTAACTGAAGAGTTAATCCATGTTGATTTTTAAGTGGCTTATTTCCTGCATTGCTTCCCAATTTAGAACTCTTCTCTAGAAAAGCAAGAAAACATTGGAACTTAATCCCTGATTCTGGCATGTTTAAAGTCTGACAGAAAACAAGATTCTGGATCACTTGACTCAGACATCGAAAGTATCAGCATACTTTGCTTTTATTGAGAAGGAGTCTCACACTGTCACCCAGGCCAGAGTGCAATGGTGTGATCTTAGCTCACTACAACCTCTGCCTCCTGGGTTTAAGCAATTCTCCCTCCCGAGTAGCTGGGATTACCGGTGGCTGCCACCACGCCTGGCTAACTTTATGTATTTTTAGTAGAGACGGGGTTTCACTATGTTGGTCAGGCTGGTCTCAAACTCCTGACTCTTGATCCACCTGCCTCAGCCTCCCAAAGTGCTGGGATTACAGGCATGAGCCACCATGCCCGGCCAGTATCAGCATACTCTGTATAACATGTTGGTAATGCAGAAAACACAAGGGAGTGAGGTGATGTACTGGAGCATCTGGAATCTGCAGGAGTCAGGGGAACTATGGGAGGGTTTGAGAGAGATTATAAGCAGACAAATAAAAGAGAAACTAACAGCTTCTGTGAAAAAGCAGGGATAAGTCTCTTAAGGAAAATAAGATATTTAAGAGCAG